ATCTATACCTTAGTCATGAACAATTGCAAATATTCACTGCTTTATGGTCGGAATTTAAACTGTTCTTCTAGTTGATTTGCTGCACGGAGTAAGTGGTTGTATTTCTCCTCCCTAGATGGTTGTCTCGCACCTCGTGCTCCACAGTCAGGCAGGAGGGAGCCCTTGGGACTTGCAGTGCAACAGTTCAGGAGGTAAATAAAACCTGGAAGCTTTTGGACAGAGTATTGCTTCTGTTTACAAAGATAGAGCTTGGCACTTCTGGTTTGTACTTGACACTTGAGTGTCTCAGCCACCTAATTACTGCTGCCATATAAATAAGAATAGATAGAGTTTGACTTTTCATAGATCTGTCATAGATAATGACTATTTCTTCTCTTCAGTGCCTATAGCAGCTTTGTTTAAATAAAGATTGARGGGAAAAACTTGTATGTTAACATCTACTGGTTTAAATTTATTCCTTCTCTTGTTGTCTTTATATAGAGCAGCCTGGGTGTCTCTGATAATGAATATATCATGATCAGAACTTTGTACAACTTTTTAAACTGTCTTTGTGAGAATTTTGGGAACCCATTCCCACTGGCATGCCAGACTTGAACCGTACTGTGAATGTGTCAGCCGAGTGCTCAGAAAGCTCTAAGGATGACACTGCAAGAAGGATGCTTGAAACTGGCTTCTTCCATGAAATGTTTATCCAAGAAAACTCTGCTGAGACAGATTGGAAATCTAACTAATCTTTCTGGGTGATATATGCCCAACTTGCTATGTCTGGGTGAGATATCATATAGGAATTGTGCCAAATAAGGCCTATGCATTCGGGTTATCTGTGTCTTTGAGTCTTGTTTGTCATCACTGGAAGGGTGTAGGAAGAGAAATACCAACATCTTCATTTACAGAAAAATACATGTGGGACACAAAGATGYTGTAGGAGTTGTCCAAGCTTGGGAATAGTATTGCAGAGCAGGGCATTGAAATTTCAAACACCACTAGCTTATCCCCTGGAACAGAGTAAACAGACTGCCTGGGGAAAGTGAAAAATGAGAAGGAATTTTACTAAGTCAAACTGAAAATCTCTTGCTTTCTTCTACTTAACTGGAAGGTCAAAGACAAAAATGTGATCTGTGAGATCTAAATGTTTCATTTGCCATCTTCGATAAAATTGAACATGATTTCAAATGAAATCTGAAAAACTTTATTTTAAACACTATTTTTAGCAGTTTTGTAATTTTTTTTTTTATCAAAGTACTTGGTTGCTCCTGATGTGTATTTGTGAAATGTTTTGGTCAGCTTTATACTGAGTGTCATAGACACATACTCACAAACATATTTATCACCTCTTCCCAGAGGTCAACAATTTACCCCAAAATTCATTCCCAGAAGAGAATCTTGTGCACTTCATACTCAAAATTGAGACTCAAAAGGGAAGATTTCATAAATYCATGAATTAAGCTTCTTGTTTAAAATGCCTATATTAATGACATGCTCAGTTTTTATACATTTTTWAAATCTTTTTTTAAAAACTTCATTCAGTTCAGAAGAGTTCTAAACACATTCTGCTCATTTCCTAGTTCTTATTCTGATGTGTGAGAAGAGCATGTCTGCTCTGAACCCGCCACATGTTAGAAGAATGAATATTAGCTTTTGTTTTTTCAAAATGACTTTTTAATTGAAAATTTAAATATTTAATGAGCTATTTCTCTCCAGAAGGAAGGGGAAAAAAGTCTACAGTTCATTCCTGAAGAAAACTCATGCTGGAGTCTGATACCACAACAATGGTGAGCTGCAAGTCATAGGCATGAGCAGGACCCCCAGCTCTGCTTGAAGCCCCCTCATTAAGGGACATAGGTAACTTTCTACAGCCTTCCTCCAATATTTAAGTTGGAAACAATCTCTGGCTATGGCTCTTTGAGTCCTTACTCCCTCAATGTTTTTGGGTAAARTTTGATTCTATTCAAATAAAACCTGAAATTAAACTGAAGGACATTTCCAATGGAGCAAGGACTCCTTGGTAGCAATTCTGTTGAGATGCCTGGTTTACGTTTCTCTCCCCACTTAGGAGACTAAACTAATTTATTTATGAAAGCAAAGCGACATACCGGATTAGCCACGTAACCGGTTCCTGGCATTGTTTGGATTCCCTTGTTTGCTTTCTCCTGACATTCCAGTAAACAAGTGACATGTCAGTGCGTGTTGGCACTGCTCGTATATTATAGACTAGTTTGAAGTGCAAAAAAAACCCTGTAATGGGGCTACGTGCAGGGCGGGTTTTTTTCCTGTGAGCATATGCTGTGAGTGGGAAAGGCCTGTGCAATGTGAACGGAGGTTTCATTAATGAGGATAGGGAGCAGTCCCTGAATAGAACAAGTAGAAGCGGATCTGGGAGCACCTGTGGAATCTGCAGGGTGGTGTGTACGGAAGGGGCTCCCGCGCATCCCCTCGGGCCTGCTCCGGGCCTCCCTGCCAACATGGTGTGTTTGCTGCTCACACAGCGCGTCTCTTCGTGCGCGCCTGCTCCCCAGAAATCAGGTTTTACAAGCACGAGGAAAGCAGGCCTTGCCACTGCAACTCCTCATATTTCTGTCAGAAAGACAACGAGTCTGTTAGGAAGTGTTTTTTTGCTCTCCTGCAGAGCTGTGCTTTAAAGTTCCTGTTTGTCCTTTGTAGAAGTGTTTAAAATTGGCCTTGCCTTGTTTCTCTTCTGGCTCTTCCTTTCAACAGATAGCAGAAGGTGACTTATATGTCACGGGTGGAGCACTCGAGTGCCCAGGACCTTGATGTCCGTCTGAATGCGCCGAATCTCTCTGTCACTGCCGCCCTCCCGCTCACGACTGATATTAAATGGACTCTGCGGCAGCAACGGCGGCACATGCAAGTTGCTGAGCTCTGCAAAGCTGCAGTGACACTTCAGATTCACGGCTTTGCCCTGGCTGAACTCGCACACGGCTGAGTAATGGCACTCCAGCTTTCCTTCGCYGCCTTTTATTGTTTATGTGCTTTTTGCTGCATCAGGCAATTATATATGACTGCGGGCGGGCAGACCGGGCCAGTATCACCCCGTGAGGAGCCCGCATTAATTGCAGCCCCTTGTGCAGCCGCCTGGCGGGACACAGGGCTCCGTCCTGGGCACGCTCGTGCACCGCRGGGAGTTTTGCAGCGGGACAGGCCAGGCGCGGGCCGGGTGCATCCGTGGAGGCCGCGGCAATGCGCGAGCGGCGGATGGCCTCTGCTGGGAGCCACGCTCATTGCAGCGCCTCCGTTCCAGCGGCGCCCGCGCGGGCTGTTCCCTGCTCAGCGAGCCGGGGTTTGGCTTCCAGAGCAGAGCACAGTGTTGGCAGCGCTGTGTGGAGCCCGTGGCCACCACCCTTTGACAATGGTTAAGGGATGCAACTGTGCAAACCCTATTCCTCTTCCCTTTCCCCACTTCACTAGTCCCTCTGGTTATTCCTTCTAGCCCCCCTGGAGCTTCCCCATGGATCCAGCCGGAGGTTTCCGCAGAGCTGCTGCTTGTCGGGCTGCACCTTTCCCTGCCTGCGGCACGTGAGGGACAGCAGCCGTGGCCAGCCTGGGCGCAGACGTAAGCATGTGAGGGACCCAAAGGCATCTCTGACGCTGCCAGCACAACTGCCTGCAGAATCTGCTAAGGAACCAGATGCAGCAGGGAGAAAAGAGCCCAAACTGCCTTCCCCAGCCTGGCATCTGTGCTGCACACGAGCCAAGCGTGGAGAGGCAGCGGGCTGGGCAGAGGGACAGGCTGGGGCTGGGGGCTGCTTGGCACCCCAGCAACCCGCAGACGGTTTTGGTTTCGAGCTGAGAAGCAAATGACTTGGGCTAATGTAAAGCGTGTGTTTTTTAAATGCAAAAAGACTGTATTGAAATTAAAAAAAAGAAAAGAATTCTGCAGACTGAGTTCAGCTAAGAATAAGCCCTCCTAAAAAGGAGAGGTCTTTTTGGGAGGGAGGGGAAGGTTTGAGTCCAGGCTAAACTGGTTGCAGTTGCAGAGAGGAAGACCATTCACTGTCTATTCAGTTGTGACATTGCAGGACACATGGAAGATATTCTGGGATGGTTCAGCACTGACAGTCAGATCATACAGCTACAAAAACCTTCTTGCTTGTTTAAAGCTCAAGCCTGCACTCACTGCTTGAAGGAAGATACAAAGCAGGTGTTCAGAGCCTCTGGAAGCTTTGCTGTCAGTTACTGTGATTTCCCCTTCCCAACAAAGACTTAAAGTTGAATGGATCTTTACAGTTATGTAAATGCACTTTTCTGTAAATACTTCCTTTGCAGCATAAACCAAAAGCTACCTGCATGGTGTGCCACTCTCTCAGCTCCCAGCTGATCTCACCCTGCTCCCTCCAGGCTGGTGGCAGAGGTCCTGCAGCTCGCAGCCGTGTCCGAGGCTGAACCCCAATGCTAGGGGCATCCTTCACTGCACGTTCCTGATGATCCCAATGCATCCCCCAGGGCTTGCACCACTCTCCAACAGGGAGTAGAAATTGCATGGGATGTATTCTTCAAATTTGAAAGATTTTAATCTAATAGAAATTGTCTCACTGGTACTGATTTATTAGGAGAAAGCCTCCTCCTCCCCAGTTAGAAAGGAATATATCTGCATAAATTGTATATTGAGGCTGGGAAGGCTAATGTATTGCCCATTGCTTCTAAGGAGCCAGGAGCTTGTCCAGTTTCTAYAGTGGGCATTAAAACTCCTTTACAGGCTCAGCTGAGGCTGGGTTCTTTCTCTGACATTTCACCCTGCAAAGGCTGTGCTAGTTTATGGGAATGTATGCAGTAGACTGGAGGAGTTGGGCTTAAGCACAGGCTCTTAACCTGGCAAATGGCTGGTGAATTCAGGAGATAACAGTGACTACAACTGCCAGTGTGCTTTGGGGCAGGGAGAGAGATCTAAGTGGAACTGTGGGATGTCCTGGTTTGGGGGTGACACCTTAACCATCTTCAGAATACGAAAGTGGAAAAGATGTTGTGTCTTTATCTCTTTTTGTTGCTCAGGGTGACTTTCATAGAATTAAGCTAATTATTTCTAGGAATATTTTTCCTTCAGCACTGTCTTTGAAACTCAGAAATATTCAAATATTTCCCCCAATGTATTCAAGCACCTAAGGTTTAGCAAACTCTTGATCCATTTACTTGTATACTTCTAGCTGTGATGGCTACCGCTATTCTAGTTAAGCACCTTCTGTAAGCAGCTTGATGAGCTTCCTCATTAACTCGCCCAAAAATTGGCCAAAGATCTGCGTAAGGTCGGGAAGTTACATTAGGTTTCTAGGAGTATTGTTTCAAATCTTACTGAGGTCACTGACTTTCTAGGTTACTTGTTTAATTTGGCTTGTGCCTGTCTGTGTTTTTTTCTGCATCTAGGTTTTGGCAAGCCAAGTCTACTGGCTGAGTGTGAAACACTTGGACACCGTGGTGATCAGGGCTATGTCTGTGCCCACAGAGCATGACATTTAACAAAACCCCTAGCTCTGCAAAGTGTGCATATTCAAGAACATAGTATGTATTACTGTCTGTTTTTAAGYGTCCCCAAAATTTATTGAAGAAATAGCCAGTATTTAATTGGTGGTTATGGACTCCTGTGGGAGCTGCTCCAAAACTTGCCAAACTTAGCGGGCCATTTGCTCTACAGGTTAACTCAGGAGGGATTTCAAAAGCCAGCCATGAGTCTTCTGGTCTTGGATTTGTAGAAACAGCAGCAAAATTAATTGAATTCACCCAGGGCTGCTAAACACAAAAGTTCTGCTTCTGGGGGAATCTGAGGCACAGGCCACTGTAACATGGGAGAACGCAGGAGAAAAACATCACATTCCTTASACTAATCTTGCCCCCAGTCTTGGCACTCACTGCTGGCCCTCACCAGAGGCAGGATCCGAAGCTGTGCAGCCATTGCCRTGTGTGAGCACAGCCACAGTGTGCAGCAGACACTGTGAGAGGAGTAGCACCCTAGCTGGTGGCCATACACTGTTAGGGTTTGTGCAAGGTAGGATCTGGAGGACCCTAGTAGGTCCTAGGTCCTAGACCCTAAGTAGGTCCTGCCCTAAGTAGGTCTCCTAGACTCTAGTAGGTCACACTAAATAAGTAGTAGTAGTAGGCACCCTAAGTAGGTCCCCTAGACCCTAGTAGGTTCTACCCTAAGTAGGTCCTAAAGAACCCTACTCCAGGACCACATCTCCATAGGAACAAGGCTATTTGATTGGAAGCAGGATAGTCCCTTTGGCTCACTGGGGCACTGATTCTGTAGTATTTAAAGATCCCAACAAATGTCTTAAATTCCAGGGAGAATTGAGATGCTTTTTCATTTCTAAATCAAGATAATATGACCTCTGTGTTTTAAGTTTGTAGTGTCCACGGTTTTCATTTTAATTTCCCCCTCTTTCCWGTAGGACTGATGCTAGTGTACATGCATGATGACACAGAAAGCCTAGAGGATAGTTTTACCGTGCAGCTGACAGATGGCAAGYGCACAGTCCAAGGGACACTTTACATCTACATCATGCCAGTCAACGATGAAATCCCTCATCTTTCCAGGTTAGCTATTTAAGTGACATTCAGTGCATAACAACTTCTGGGGGAAAATAATAATAATAAATGGAAACAACGTATCTCCTCCTCAGCCTCCTCAGACCCCACCAAGAGTAAACAGGAAAATCAGGCTTTCTTTGTATTATTTTTTCCCAGGAAAACAGTTTGTAAGAAGGCTGTAGTGCAGAGCTGTAGCTTGAGACAGACAAGCCTCACAATGCAGTCCAACAAAAATCATTCAAGTAGCAATAGCTGGTTTGTGGTCTCTGGGTGGAGGCTTGTTTGTATTTAAGTTAGTGGCAAAATTCTTGTTGTCTTCAGTTGGGCCCAAATTTATTCTTTTTCACACTCTTTTAGTTGATTCCTTTCAGTATTTTTTTTTCTCTATTCTCTTTAATCTACTTTTAACAGTGAATCTTTTTGACAAGAACATGGGACYTTTTTTTTCAATATTTAAGGGCCAAACTCAGTCCTGTTGAAAGCAGTGTTAGGGTTCACGTTCCTTTTCAAGAAAGTCAGAATGTCACCCCTGGAAATAAGGGTTCAAAATCTGACCTTGATTAAAAGAGAGTGGAGAGAWCCCTGCATGCAGTAACAATGCTCCAGTAAGAGTGCTGTTAATTGACTCTGTTCACTAGGGGTAAAGATCTTCTGCCATGATTTCATCCATTAAAAAGGACTAAATTRTAATGCTTTTGAGTGGTATTACAAAACCAAATTGTCATGAGAGTGCTGATAGGAGCTCTCTTTTATTGGCTCAGTAAACACAGGGACAAGCCTAGCCTGGTGGCATGTTATGTGTTGGGATGTGAGAGATGACCACAACTCCTGCCTTGGCCTAGTTCTCTTTAAGAATTCACAACTTGGAAAAAAAAAATCCTGTAGAGCTACTGAATTCCTCCAGAAATGCTGGCACTGGACTAAATAAAATATTTTTTTWAAAAAAGTTGATTTAGCATCTTGCTTTTTGTACAGCTTTTAAATAATCTCAGAGCACAAGTTGAAAGCCACCAGAGTGAAGGTAAAACTCACATACATTCTCTGTTTGCTGATGCTAACAGTTTCCTGGATTCAAAAAAGTAAATTGTAGAAGTGAAAAAGAGTTTCTCCTTTCATCTCAAAAGAGGTTTTGTGCCTGGAAAAATTAAACAAAACTCTTTTTCAAAATAGGGAAGAAAATCAACCTTGAACCTCTGCAAAGTGTAGAAATATTCCATAATTGTCATTGTTAATTTTATATCCAGGTAGCTGCAATTTTGCAATTACATTTTAGTACTTGGTTGTTGTTAGTATGGCTAGTACTATTTTTCTTATAATTGTGTACTTCTTTTTCAAAATGAAAGGCATGTTGACTTCCAAACTGCGTTTCTCTCCTTGTAGAAACTGGCAGAAGAAATGCTTCAGTAAGTTCAGACCCCTGCTTTTTCCCCCTCAATTTTTTGAAAGAGGAGATTTATCCAGGTGAGGCTCTTCCCACTAGCAGAATTCAAATCCTCATTTTCAGAGSATAAGAAACCCCATGTGATCACAAAATACCCGTCTAGCTCTAGTTGCAAAGACAAATACAAGCTTTCCTTACAAAGCATGAGTTGGTGCACATATGAAATAACATGTTATTCTCCCTAGCTATCAGGCCCCTTGGCTGGGGTCCTTCATCAAGGGGAAAGCTGAGAAACTTGCTCCCAGTTCCCCCTCTGTGGAGCGGAGCCGCAGCCTGCAGCCCTCACCAGGGGTACTGACACTCACCCGCTTGAAACGGCTTTGGCTGCRTTCCCAGAACATCGCGTGTGTATTTTTAAAATTTTCATAGAAGTAGTAAACAATGAAAAGTTACAAAATGGACACGTGTCCCTGCTTCCTAGCAGCGTTTCCTCTGGGGTTTGCTGCTGTGCCGAGCCTCCGGACGGCTCCTTCCACCAAGGGAAGCGCTGCCAGCCTTCAGCCGCAGCCTTCAGGTGGGGCAGCCCTGGGGCAGCCGAGGTTTATGACCCCCTTAAATGTCACCCTGCGACATCTGACATTTCATGGTACGTGGCTGCAGTAAATACCAGGCTCCGGTGTGCTGGGTGCCCCTTCCCAGCGGGCCTGGTGCCGTGTCTGCTGTGATCCTGGCACCGGCTCCGGGGAGCATTGGCAAAGGGAGGGAGGGGACGCACGTCAGCTCAGGCCCCATCAGCTCAAGCCCAGCTGTGAGATGGGGAGCAATAACCCGTGCCATCGTGGCAGGCACTGGAGGTGAGCTGCCAGCCAAGGCTTCTGGCCACATGGGTGCCTGGCTCCAGCACAGACACATTTTATTCATTTATCCTGCCCCTTCCAGTCTGCCTCCTGTTTCTAATATGCTTCGTATCTTCCCTCCCTTCGCTCCCGTCCTTGTGATTTCCTTGTCGTTGTCAAGCTGAGGTGAGATCCTTGTCTCTATTTCCRTTCTCGTGAAGGTGAAGTGGCTTTCCTGGAGTCACTTCACTCATATGTGCACTTATTCTTAGCATGAGCAACCCTGTGGAGACAACCCTTATTTCATCTTTTAATGTCCACGTTATTTTCTGGGCCATCAGAAGTGAATGTCATGCCTCAAATGTTGTTTATATGTTCCCAATCTATATAACAAACTGAGCCCTTTTGTTTAAGTAGAAGGTAACATAAGTGAAGAAAATGTCACTTTTGTCATTTATCAGTGAGCTGCAGAGCAGGGAGTGCCCTCCTTCCCCTACAGAGGTGAGAATTTCCGGGACTCATATCCTGACCAAAGCCTGTGAGGCTGAAGGACAACATAAGAAAAATTGCATGATCATATGTGACGAGTCCCACAGTAGCATATTTGTTTAAATGTTTTTAAAAATTTCTATCTGCTTGATGCTAAGAGGAGCCTGTTCGTGCTTAATAAATTGGAGAAATTGCTCAAAGATTCTTCATCCATATGAAAGCATGAGCCCTGTACTGCTGCCAAGAGAAGTGAGACCTGTGGTGTCATGCCGAGTAAGTGATGGTCACACAAATTAGAAAGGCTTAGGTACAGATCCCTCACTTGTGCAGTTTTCCCTGAAATGTGAAAATGTAACAGGGAAATTACTAAGCAACATTCAGTCTTTCCAGCTGGATCTTCCTCTTTTAGATCCGATCATGGACAGTGCACCATGCAGCTGAACAGAAACCAAAGCAACACCTTTAGGTAATTTGAGCAGTAGGACACTGTCCTTTTTCCCCTTTTTAAGATGAAAAGTAAGCAAGAAAAGGAAGCTTCAGGAAAGGTTGCTGCCCATCCTATTGTACTGAGTGCTGTACAAACTCATCTATGTTATCCATGCTATAGATTATGCAGAATAAGCTAATGGCATTTCTTCCGTCACGTGCGTATATTGTAATGGTTATTGTTACCTAGCTTCTTTATTGCTGTTCTTAACTAGTCTTTGCCTAGCCCCTCCCGTTAGTACAGCTGCTTCTTCAACACCAGTTTGGACAAGTCTCTTGATTCCCAGGAACTTCAGCTTCATTCCTAAGAAACGATGACCCTGGAGGCTCTGGGACATAAATTATGCTCTGACGTTTGGACAGAAAATGTGTGAAACCAGTAACCTTTGTGCAGTATGAACAGAGAATGAGCTCAAGGGTCTTTGGCTCATCATCCCTACTAAGGGCAAAGTTAGCTGCCTTTGTTTTGTTTTTCTTTTGTTTTACTATTTCACTGTTTTCACTATTTTGTTTGTCTCTCTTTTCCCTGTTTTTTTTTTTTTGTTTGTTTGTTTGCTTGTAATTTCTAGTAATAGGGGTTTGAAAGCCAAAGCAGCTGAGAAAAGTCATTTCCGCTGCAGTGTTAGAGGCAGAAGACGAAGGTTCTCCAAGGGACGGACACTGTATGACCCACAGTGCCCGCAGAGCTGGAGGTCTGCAGTTGAAGGTAGCARTGCCTTTAGCATCTGGGCTCTTCTCCTTGAGACACATGAAATTCCCAGTCTGCTTTCATTGATGGAATAAGTAGAATAAGCAGCAAGACCAAACAAGCTTCTTTTTTTTTTTTTTAAGCTGTATTCTGAGGTCAGCTGGCCCAGGCAGAATTTCTTTTTCCATTCCTATTTCTCTTGGCTGCAGAGAGAGATCCATATCGTCTATACATCTCCTGGCTGGTGCTAGCATGACACATCTACTGGGCATCTGGGTGGATTATCAGTCTTCCTCCTGCCTGTCTGCAGCATCTGAGCGTCTGCTAAGGGTAAGTCAGAGGAAAGGCTTGGCCCCTCTAGCTGGGACCCTGGAAACTGTTCCTGGCTACGTGTCTCCTTCCACCATCTCTGCGTTGTGCTGAAAACATTTTAACTGACTTTTATATTGGTTTGCTAAGCCCCAGTGCTGTCTTCTTCCTTTTATAATTAAGCAACTT